GGAACCCTCACTGTGACCATCACGAGTAAACACCCGACACAAACCTAATTCTCTCTTTCATAGTTTCAAGCTTTGCTGCTTTATTTGATCCAGACAGTCGGGAGTGAAGGGAAAGGCGGAGGTAAGGTGACATGTTGCCTAAACCTCACACACACACACACACACACACACACACACACAAATAACAAAAAGTTCAGACAGAGAGAAAACGAGTGAGGCACAAAGGTACATGCGTGTGTGTTGCTTTGCAGCGGTGCCTTCTGGGTAAGGGGAGACTGAGATGTCGGCAGCGTGATAATCACACCTGCGTGAATACGTTTCTGTTTTTAAAGGTGAGTTTCAGGTGAGTTCAGTGTATTTGACTGTTTACACATGAACCCTCAGAGTTTCTCTTTCGCTGCCTCGTTCTGATGCTTCACATGACCAGCAGGGGGCGACTCCACTGGTGGTCATGTCTCTGTGTTAATAAAAAGTTTCTGGTGCCGGTGAGAAGTTTTGTTTTGTTGTAAAGTTTCTGATCCACAGAACAACAGACAGGAAACAGACAGGAAACTCGTCTCACCTTGAAGAGTTGATGTCTCTGCTCCTCTGACATCATCAGCTGGTGACTGTCCATCACCATGGCGTCCATGTCCATCAGCCAGTCCCAGAGCTCCTGGTACTCGGCCTCGAACTCCTGCAGACTGACGGCAGAGAGAGAGAACGATTATTCAGTGGAATCATTGCTGTCGTCTCACGTTGTGGTTCCTCCGTGTTCTACTTCCTGTCATTGTCGTAAGTGTCCCGCAGCAGTGAGACATAAAGTGAGAGAGAGACACTGACGGATAAAATCAGAGAGAGAGAGAGAGAGAGAGAGAGAGAGAAAGAGAGAAAGCAGAAAACTCCTCAAGTGGCCGTTAGAGGAGAAACTAAAATGTCCTCCGAGAGAAACGAGGACAGATTCTTTGGACGCTGGTTCTTTGATTGCAGGTGAATCAAACACATTACATCACTGGAGTGAATCACACGTCTGACAACAAACATCGACGGAGAGTCAAGATGGACGACGTGTCTCCACGTCCTCTGTTCAGAAATGAAGGTAAAATACGAACGCTGCCATCGGACCCAGACGGTGGAGCGGAGCCACGGTATCGAACGACCACGACCACGAGCCTCAGCTGCAAACATCAATCAAACGTTTCTGAGAAGTTTGGTTTTAATTCGTTATTTAATGAGATGAAGGCTGAGACCGACTCTGACGTCATCGGCACAAGATGGCCGCCTTTGTATGTGAGATATTCTGTCCTCATTTCTCGGGAGGACTTGGACACACGTCGTCCATCTTTATTTTACGGTCTGTGGTTCCCATGAGAAGGTTGAAGCTAATTTTACAAGTTCAAAGTAAATGTTTATAACGGACAGATCGTTCGGCGCTCTCTCGCACCATACGAGGACAATTTAGTGTCTTCGTCCCACAAAGAGACACACACACACACACACATGCACAGAGTTTGTCCAACAGCAGGTTCCAGATGTGTCCTCGTGTTTTAGCTGCTGGATATAAAAGTGTCCTGCTCCGGACAAATCTGTGTCCACTAGCCGACTTAGTTTTCTAACTTCCTTGTTTCCTTCTCCTCTCTCTTCCTCCCTCCTCTTCTATCCCATCGTATCGTCCCTCATCTTCCTCAGCCTCCGTCCTTTAGCTTTCCCTCCCCCTCCTCCTCCTCCTCCTCCCTTGTCCTCTCACCTCCTCCTCCTCCTCCTCCTCGACACAGGATCACATCAAATATTTATGCTGCTGGAACAGGGGCCGATTGCTCAAACACACACATTACTGTCAGTCGTTTTGTTAAGGTGTCCCTGAGTGTGTGTGTGTGTGTGTGTGTGTGTGTTTATTATTTATATATTCGGTGGTTTTCGGTCTCGGCGGGGATCGCCAACATGTTTCTCAACATTAGCGGTGAAATTGCTTGGAATTCTCCGGTCGCCCACGACGACAGTTTGACAGCTCTGTCAGGCCCACAGCGTTTCTACCACAATTCACTTACACACACACACAAAGTACACGTACACACACACAGACACACAATCGCACAAAACAATTCCTCCAATACACAAAACAACACAGCTACTGATAATTACATGTGCACACAGAACCCACATTAAACACTACACAAGAACACACACTGACACAGACACACAACTGGAGGAGTTGTCAAAGTAAACAAAGTAAACTATGAATGAAATTACACAAACGACAAAAGACAAAAAACTACACGTTGGTTTTTGATTCACGTCGAACTCTGAGGTGAAGCCGTGTTTCCTGTCGATGTATTTATTACCCATAAGCCTCCAGCGGCTTGTGAAGGAATGAGAAGTGAACACATTATTTTAATGAGTCCAAGAAAAGTGCGTTCTTCAATCAATCCTCTTTCTAAAACTTCTCTACTTTCCTTAATGTTCAGAGATCTAAAAACTTTTGCCTCCTCCTCAAACCAAAAGTTCTCACTCTCACTTTCTAAACCAGTGACGCGTTCGTGTTCCTCCACCAACCAGAGCAGCTTCAGTCACATCTCTGTCTGTCCAGACTCTCGTGAGGTCACGCTGACCTTTGACCTTTGGAATCTGATCAGTTCGAGTGGCAACTGATCGAACTTTGAAGAAATTCACGTTCGAGAGGCCGAAAAACGTGTTTTGTGAGATCATCACGACTGAATACACGATGAGTTCATCCATCAGTCAAAGTGAAAGTTTGAAACTAATTCCCAAACTTTACAAAACGTCCAGAATCTACACTTCTGAAAATTGTCTTCACTTTTCTGTGTCCTCCTCTTTTTACCGAATGTCCACACTCTGTCAAAAAAAACCATACCGGGAACAAAACGTTCCAAAATGCACTTTTTAAAAACACCAGTTTACAGCCATGTTACAAACGTCACAAACGTTCTTTCTCCTCCTCCTCTACCTCCCGTCTTTCTAAACTCTCCTTCCCTTCGTCCTCTTCCTCGCTCCTCTGTCCCTCCGTCGTCTTCCGCTACAGGACAACAGAACATCTTCCCACCTCCTCCTCCATCTTTCTGCTCACATCCCCTCTCCCCCCTCACAGGCCCCTGTCCTCCTCTGCAAGTGATTCTCAACGAAATGAAAACAGAGAAGAAGAAAGTGAAGGAAGCGAGCGCTGCTTCCTTCCCCTGAGGCGGCGTTCCTCATTATGCGGCGAGCGGAGCGGCCCTTTACTGACTCAGGCAGATGAAGGAGATACAACACTCGCGCAGATTGTTTTCTCTTGTCGTTTGTCGTTGTTCACTCCCCCACCTCCACTCCTCCTCCTCTCCCCCCCCACGTTTCCGTCTTGTTCTCACACTAATGTTAACTAAACGCTTTGTAAAACAGGATTCTCTCGGGGAGGGGGGGGGGGGTTGGAATACGAGAAAACAGACAAATCGTAGAGCAAGGAGCGACGTGGCGGCACTGCGGGGCTGCGTTCGACACCGGGACGGTTACACAGCTGTTTGAAGTGTCAGGTTCTCTCTCTGTCACGCGGCTCTGACGGCGTGCGTGGGAGAGTTACGGCGAGCCGCTCTGACATTTAGTCACTTGAGGAAATTCAAATTATAGAAATCTATTATTCATTTCTATCTTGTCATGATTCCAGCAGATACAATGAGGCGGAACGTGTGAATCTACACAGCGGAGACAAACATTGATACCGGTCAGAGAAGAGGTTTGATCGATTCTCAGTTACAGATTTTTGACTGATGTGGAATTTGTTTTCAACAAAAACAAGGTTCGGGTGGATTCAGGTACATTTCTGCCACTCGTCTGTTTCAAACATGAGATCAACGTATTGTCTGTAATTCTCTTCAGAGTTTAAAAGTCTGGGGGCGGAGCCTGTAGGACACACACGTCTGTCTTCTAAGCTGGAATGGATTCATCATCTTCCACTTTCTACTCCCGTCTCTTTCTTTTCATCACTTCCCAAGTCTCTGTCTCCCGTCTGCTGCGACTGTGATAGCAGCTGTAACCACTGACTCTAATTCATCATCCTCCTCCCAAAGAGGAGGAGGAGGAAGAAATGTCAGGTGAGGAAAGAGAGAGAGAGAGAGAGAGAGAGAGACAAGAGGAGGAAAGGAGGAAAGTTGAAGTAAGGAGAAGAATGGAGAACGAGGAAAGAAAAGAAGTGTGAACAGGAGGGAAACGAAAAGAGGTAGAGACGGGATGATGGCGAGAAGAAGAGTAAAGATAAAAGATGAGAGGAAAGAATGGAGGGATGGGGGGAGGGGAAAGTGAAGGAGGGAGGAGATGAAGTGATAGAGTGAAAGGTTGAATGAGTCATTGGCAGCCGTCACCTTTCAGACAGAGAGCGTTCGATTTATGAGCGATTCAGAGACATTCGTCTCATGGGTTCATCCGACAGATGTTACAACACAGTGAGCAGCAGCACAGCGCCCCCTGCTGACGCTCACTCACTCACCCACTCACTCACTCACTCACTCACAGATAAGCAGTAAAATTCACCTGCTGCTTTGTGTTATATTCATTCATTTACTATTTTCTTAATCCATTCATATAATCATTCAACTGTTCCTTTATGAGCTTCATTATTCATTCGTTCACTCAATGTTTCCCTCATTCTTTCTTCCATCCGTTTATTTGTGTAATTATTGATTCACTCATTCAAAATGAATTCACTCTTTAATCAGTAATTGTATTTATTTGTTGAGTGATTGATTACATCCATTCATTCATTCATGTTATCACACTGTTGCTCTCTCACTCTTTAAACAATGAAGTCACTCACGTCCATTTATTGAGGCGATCACTCGTTCACCCACTCTCTTACTCACCCACTCTCTTACTCACCCACTCTCACCCATTCATCGAGAGCTTCCTTCACTTACACACTTATTTAATGATGAAGTCATCCCTTCACTTCTCCCATTCATTCATTCATTCTTTTTCCTATTCCTCCATTAAATTGACTGTTTATCAGTTTATTTTTTCACTCATTCATTGGTTCT